GCGACGTCCTTCAGGGGCTTGTCCCGGCTGTCTGTCTTAGTGTTCTCCACCTTCCTCACCACGTCCTGGGGAAAGCAGAGGTGTGAGAGCGGGGCAACACTGGGCAGGGGCAGAGCCAGCTCAGTGCAATCCCCAACCCAGAAGACACCTCCCAGCCCGCTCTCCACAGCGCTCTGCCCCCAGCCAGCTTGCCTAGGCTGCATCCGCCCGGTCCCGCTTTCCCCCTGGGAACCGATCACCCCCCTTACCACCCATCGCCCCCTTACCATGCCCTCCAGCACTTTGCCGAACACCACGTGCTTGCCGTCCAGCCACGGTGTCTTCACCGTGGTGATGAAGAACTGGGAACCGTTGGTGTCCTTGCCAGCATTGGCCATGCTCACCCAGCCAGGGCCGTAGTGCTTCAGCTTGAAGTTCTCGTCAGGGAAGCGGTCTCCATAGATACTTTTTCCTAAGGTGGGGAAAAAAAAAGGCTGCATTGCTCTCATGGAAATACGTCAGGGTAGAGGCGATGATGGCGGCTCTCTCCACAGGCTGGGTGGGGTGAATGAGCACATCTGGAAGGGGGACTAACTACCAGCACCTCAGGGCTGCAGGGAACCATGAGCTACCTGCTACTGGAGGGAGCTAAAAGCACCCCACAAGCTGGGCAGGAGGGATCATGCCCCCAGGAGACCGGACCAGGAGGCTGTGTGAGAGCAGACCTGGCAAGAGCTTAGAAGCTCAAATGCTGATACCATCAACTTTGCTAATGTTTGCTAAGTGCTGGTGGAAGGTTTGAACTCTGCTGCTACCGGACTAAATGTGTCCTGGCAGCCAGGACGCCTGGCAGAGGCACCAGCTGCTGCAGAGGACAGTTTTCTTAGTGAGGAGCTCCAGGTCCTCCCGGGGCAGAGGGCACAGCTACACGGGTAACATTCAGGTGCCAGCCAGCCAAGCCTCACTGCGCCCATCGCTCCCCAGCACCAAGCTCTGCTTCGAGGCCAGGTCTCCATGAGCTGTGTGCCCACTCATGCCTACTCGTTCTCACTGTGGCACCATGCTCCAGCTCCACACTGGTCCCCAAGGGTAGCCAGGCCGTGGGTTGGGAGCGTGGCTGCTGTCTCGCTTCAAGACAGCACCTGGACCCTCAGGCTGGCGTGGGCCGAACTACCTCCAGTGCCATCTCCACGGGTGAAGTCTCCTCCCTGGATCATGAAGTCTTTGATCACACGGTGGAACTTGCTGCCCTTGAAGCCGAATCCTTTCTGGGGGTGGGGAGGGAGAAAACGGAGTGAGGCAAAGGGTTGGACTAGAGCTCCCTCCGCCCAGCTCTGCCCCAGGGCACCAAGCAGGAGCCTCCCGGGGGGGCGGGT